GCCATTGCAGATTACGGCACATTGAAACTCCGAACTCAACAAGCAAACGTCGCGCTAAAACACAAGAAATAGATCACGCGACCAAAAAATTCAATCATAAATGGAAGTCCGCAGCGCCTATCAGTCGGTCTTATCCAGGCCAGACCTGTTACAATCCTCACCTACACCGGCGCGTGCTGGCACACACTTGCCAACAGGCAACGTGCTGTGCAAACAGTGCAGAGACCGTGTCCTTCATGCACAAAAGTACCGGCTCAGACAATGAGTTCACTTCCTCAGAACGGCATGCATTAGCCCGATCGTCGATCTGATAGCTGGCCCGACAGGAGCGCTGCGCACGCCGGCGCACTGCACAGCACGGCGCCTCGAGGCGGCCGATTCGCAGCGACGAGCCACGTCATTTTCATTATCTCATTACGGCCGGCCGGCCGATCATATCTCGCCGAACAAAACCGGCGTTTGGCGACGCGCTGCCTTTCTTCCCCGGCGCAAACAGCGTCAACAAATCACCCGTCACGGCCGGCGGGTGCGACGGCGGTGGCGCGCTTTAATTGGCGCCGATCGCTGACGCACAACAGCTCGCGTCCGCGGCGGACAGCGCGGCGGACGCGCCGAGCGGACCACGGCAGCGCCTGAATCATGCTGCCCACTGCGCCGGCGGGTAGCCGGCACCCCCGGCCTCAGGGTAGCAAGCAGCAGGGGCAGCAGGGGTGAGGGACACCTCGGAGCTCAAACACCGGCAGCGGGGTGAGGGATACCTCGGAGCTCAGGGAGCAGCAGCAGCAGGTGTGAGGGGTACCTCGGGGCTCAGGGAGCACCAGCAACAGGGCGTGAGGGGCACCTCAGGGGCTCAGGGAGCACCAGCAGCAGGTGTGAAGGGCAACCTCGGGGCTCAGGAGCACCAGCAACAGGCGTGAGGGGCACCTCGGGGCTCAGGGAGCACCAGCAACAGGTGTGAGGGGCACCTCGGGGCTCAGGGAGCACCAGCAGCAGGTGAGGGCACCGGGGCTCAGGAGCACCAGCAGCAGGTGTGAGGGGCACCTCGGGGCTCAGGGAGCACCAGCAGCAGGTGTGAGGGGCACCTCGGGGCTCAGGGAGCACCAGCAGCAGGTGTGAGGGGCACCTCGGGGCTCAGGGGCACCAGCAGCAGGTGAGGGGCACCTCGGGGCTCAGGGAGCACCAGCAGCAGGTGTGAGGGGCACCTCGGGGCTCAGAGGGCACCAGCAGCAGACGAGAGGAGCACCTCGGGGCTCAGGGAGCACCAGCAGCAGATGAGCGGAGCACCTCGGGGCTCAGGGAGCACCAGCAGCAGGTGTCAGGGGCACCTCGGGGGCTCAGGGAGCACCAGCAGCAGGACATGGCCAGTTCCGTGCTGGGACGTTCAGACCAGCGCCAGCCTTCCGATGCCCGGCTGGCCATGCAGCCAGGGCGGGACAGGCCCGGCCATTCTCAGACGATGAGTGGGTTCAGACAAGAGACCCACTCAGAGCCGCACCTAGGCCGATGGTAGCCGCAGTAAGGCTGACGCAGGCCAGAGTCCATAGGCCTGATAGTCACCGGCCGTGACCGGCCGTGACCGGCGGTAACCGGCGGTGACTGAAGGTAGCCGGAGGTGGCGGCGCCAGACCGCTGGCGGGCCTTCACCCCAGTGGGGGCTGACGTCGGCGGCGGGGTGGCGCAGGAAGCCCGGGCACGATACGATCGAGCGACAATACCGCCGCGCCGTGAGCGGCGCGAGGCGTGCAGCGGCGCGCCCTGCAGCGTGCAGCGCCGCGCCGCCGCGCTCGTTAGCGCCGGCCGGCCACGCACCGATCTGGCCGCCGGACAGCACGGGGCAACACCCGACACGCCACGGAGCCGACCGCAAGATAATGCAGGACAACACATGGCCTGGAGTTGACCTCCAGATAATGCCAGATATCGCACGGAACTGACTACCGGCCACTGCCGGACGCGGCATGGGGCTGACCCCAGGCTTCTGCTGGACACCGCATGGGGCTGACCCCAAGACACTGCCCGACGCGGCATGGAGCTGACCCCAGGACACTGCCGGACGCGGCATGAAGCTGACCCCAGGACACTGCTGGACGCGGCATGGAGTTGAACCCATGACACTACCGGACACGGCATGGAGCTAACCCCAGGCTTCTGCTGGACATCGCATGGAGCTGACCCCAGGACACTGCCGGACGCGGCATGGGGCTGATCCCAGGACATTGCTGGACGCGGCATGGGACTAACCCCAGGACACTGCTGGACACGGCATGGAGCTGAACTCCGTACACATGTCTCTGCTGCTGAGCAAGAGCTCTTTAAGCGTCGCCAAGAAGGGACAACACCCGACGGCGGGGCGCCCGGCCGGCCGAAAGGTCCGCGGTCCGACAGACGCCGGAGAGGTCCGCGGCCCGACAGCCGCCGGAGAGGCCGACGGCCGCCAGGGACGCAGCTGGGTTGCGAGGGTCGTCGGCAATCTCGCCGGACATAAACCGGCACCAAAGCGCCACCGGACCAGCAGCTCCCCCCCCCCTCCCCCCCCCCCCCCCAGTGCAGTTCACCTTGATGTTATGCCCACGCGCTGATTCTGATCTCGCGTACGGCTGATGCATCCAGTCGGCGACATTTGTGGTCGATTCCAGGAGTCGTTAGCTTCCCGCGAGGCTTGACAACACTCGCCGGCTTTACATCAACTGGTCACTTCCAGCAAAAGCCAATTCGACTGACCGTGATCGCCCGGCCCGGCGCACTGGTGAATTTAAGGCGGGATAACGAGGCTCAGTCTGCTCTCACAAGGTCACAAAAATGAAAGAATTAAGCCCTCTTCCCTGCGCACGCTCTCCAAGTGATTGGCGCGGCAATGACAATGGAAATGACACCTTGCCCCTCTCCTCCCCTCCCCGTCTCCCATCGAGAGCTGATCATGAACCCACTCCCATTCAAATGTGTGTATTACGAGAAGCTGTAAAGAGCCTACACAGCATGCACGTAGTCTCAATTGTCATCAACATTTTAACTATGGCGACTTGTCACGCCGAATTATTGCAAGAACCTGTGACAGGCTGCAGCTCAACAAGTCATTATGAGGACTCAGTAACCTTTGACATACGCAGCATGACATGTCAATGCTGTGCACATTGATTATTGGTCAGAAGGCATGCAGAGGCCTGCTATGAGAGTGTCACTACCACCCGTCAGTAGCACTGATACCTGACAGCCAACTAGTGGTCAAATCAACACTGATGCCCAGTGGAGGGACCCATGAATTAGCCAGGAACATTAAAACAATGAGATCGCTGTTGCTGCCAGGGGGCAGTTGTTCCCTAAGTTTGCCATTCAGTAGAAACAACTTTGGCCTCAACTTCTATAATTTCTTTGTTAATGCTTTCACAGAAAATGTCAAGCAAGGTACAATAGCTGCCATCACCATCAATGATTTGTGGTGTTCCCCTGTAGTTTACCTGCACTCTGAAGAGCTTCACTCCCACAAACATTCAATGCTGCAATTTGTTGGACAATTTATAATTGTCCATTTATCCAGCATTCATAGCTTTCTAATCTGTTTATGTTGAGCTCAAATGCCATGGCGATATGAAAGCAGGCTGGGCAAAGTTATTTGCAAAGACAAAATAATGTATTTATGTTCTGATTTGGCCTTCACATCCTTGTCAGGGTCACAATCTGCCATCAACGTCATCAATGCTGTTAGGGTTGCTTGAACATTCATCTTGGCATCACCAAGCTTTCCAAGCCTTTAAGCATACAGCATTCATTTGACCCAGAAGCCTAGTATCCCGTTTCCTATCTGCATAAAGGAGTTTACCTACTAAGGAATTGAAACAATTTAAGCCAACATTAAATGCACTCTACACATATTACACAAATCACAGATCATTCACAGTGAAAAATGTATTGGGAAGGATGCTTTATTTTACATGTGTTTAACCTTGGCAATTAGCACCATGGCACTACTCCATTCTCAAAACATGTACAAAAACAAAATGATATGAATCACCACTTGCATAACTCATCAGACATAACTTGCTTGCTAGGTATTCAAAATAGAAATGTCAGAGGCTGCACAAAAATGGATTACAAGCAGATCCAGCAACAATAATTTGTCTGCACTCATTGATAAATATAGGACCAGGTTAAGGATGCTTGGGAAGCTTGATGCTGCATAACTGGAGTGCAATATATCTTCCAAAAGAAACATTTAGGTTGTGATATCTCAATTAAAACTAGAGAGCATCAAAATTTTGTGTGTTTAGAGCACCATAGCTTCAGCACTAACCAGACCTGCCTCTCTCAAGCCTAAGCCTTACAAGGAGCCTGACCCAAAAGCTGTGGGTCTTGGCCAATAAAATTTGGAATCTTACTTATGAATAGGCGATGCAGCAATTACAAGTGATAGTGTGGAAACAGAGACAGAGGCAGGAGCCAGCAGCCTTTCACTAGCCTTTTAAAACCCATTACTTGCCTCCAAGTTTGGCTGATAGAGAAAACACCAATGTTTTGACTTGCCTCTAGAAAGATGGCTTATCAGAGGACTTATCTGTTAAATAAGCATACATGAACTGATCACACAAGGGACATATCAGGATTTATTTATCAGTGGAATACTACTAAAACATTTCATTGGCCAACACTTCTAACACCACAGGCACACAAAAGCTCTTGCATGTTGTGTATCAATGTGGTGTGTTTTTGTTGGACCACTTCTATCTTAATTTCACAATTGTGAACAATTACTGGCAAATGCATAACATTACAATTTTTATAGTGTGGGCATGTTGGTCTGGTGTCTCTTGTACCTGCTTCATGAGGGTCATGCCCAAGTTTTTAAGCAAATGCTAAGTTCAATAAAAACATCACCTGTCCATAAACTCCTAGATGTGCATAAAAGTAAAACATTACAGATTGCATAGAAAGTTGCATAGCTGGATGAGTGGAGCTCCACATTCCACGAAGTGATGAGCGATGAAACGTAAGCATTCAGGACTAACCTAGAGTAAAAGAAAGCAGCGTTTTCAATCTCAACGGCTCAAGCTCTCGAACTGATGATCCACCAATATGCATGAACATGAACATCGACATGCGTCAATGCATTCCTTATCACTCATGCACTTCCCGCCGTTGTATCCACAAATCGAAATTTGGGCGCCATAAACCAAGCAAATCAAAGTCAAGAGCTTTTGTGGTAAACCGTCTAGCTATTCCTTTATGTCGAGGTAGATCATTGTGCTTGTGGGATTGTCTTCAAAATATCGAATTATTCGCAACAAATATTTTACACCATTTCCAATATTTTGATGGCACGCCCAACACAAAGCGAAGGGAACAGCTGGTAGGAAGAGCGCGCACTTTTTCCTCCGCTTTGAATCCCCAACCCTGCGCTCAATGCGGAAGCCCCCATCCGGTAGTTGCGGGCAGAAGCACGCAGAGGTGGCGCCAAGGTTTTATTGGTGGAGGGGTCCGGAGCTCAGTGAGCACCCTTCACACCAATTTTAAATTTTCTGTCGGGAACCCTCAATGGTGAAAAGAAAATCTGGCTTTGAGCACCGGGCACTGAGCACAAATGCGCCGGGCACGCGGTCCACTCCATTGATGGCGACCCTGAAGTACACAGAACATACGTTTAGGAAAGGTTCGTGTGGCAGTGTTTCGTAGGATAAGGCTCCAGGGGTGCAGCCAGAGTCTTGGGAAGGGGGCACTGGGTTTGGGGGCCCTGCGCGTTGATCAGGGGTCCCTGGGTCGATAAAGGCCTGTTGTCGGTCAGACGCCACCAGTAACGCACAGTCTGCTCCGTGGTGGCATGAGCCTGAGGGCCCATTTCCCAAGCAGAGGCAGAGTTGGAGCCAGCGATTTACATTGGTACGGGCCCAAAAGCGCCTAATAGGGAGGGGCCTGTGCTGGCAATGGTCCCCAAGTCGGCCAAAGGAGGTGTTCGAAAAGTTCCGAAGGGTCTGTAGAGCCCACTGGGTCCGACGATCGAGGGCTCGATTGGAGGGCTTAAGAGTACAAAGGGCTGGGCGAAGTCTTATTCAGGGGCTCCAGCCTGCGGGAATGAGCCCTCTAGCCCCGACAGTCAGAGGGCCCTTTGCGCCGATCAGGGACACCCTGAGTCGATATGGGTGTATATATCGGTCAGACACCACCAGTATCGCACAGTCTGCTCCGTATCGGTATGGTCCTGAGGGCACACTTCCCGATCAGCTACAAAGCCGGGGCTAGCAATTTACACTGGCCGATGCCCCTGTAGCTGTCCAGGCCCACAGCGCCCAACAGAGGATCATGTTCTTGCTATGGGTTCCGAGCCGACCAAGAGCAGTGTTCGATGAGGCTCAAAGAGCGGCCCGGGTAGCGCGACGGAACCGACTTTCGAAGACACTGTTGGATGCATAACGGCCCGGAGGACTGGCTGCCGGTCACATAAGGAATTGTGGCCTGTAGGGCCGTGACATGAAATATCAGCCAGAGGTCCTCTTGGACCGTTTGAAGACCCCCTGAGACAATGCGGGTGTCTCAGGCGGCCACAGACACCGAACAGTTGTCTCACTGTCTGTCTGAACAATGGGGGTCGATCTCCCAAGTATGAACAAGACAGGGGGCCCATTATTTGCATTGGTCTGGGTTCCTGAAACAGTGGTTGGGGCCCTGTGTCGGTCAAGAGTCCACAGTGTCTAACAGGGGTCACGTCTCGGCTTGTGGCCCCTAGTCGGTCACGTGTTTTGTTTAACGATGTCCGAAGAGGGACCGGAGGGCCCTTCGGAACCAATGATCAGAGACCCGATTGGACTCGAGCCAGGCCCTTCACCCGTACTGTCGTGACCAGAGAGGAAACGGCGTACAGAGGGATTCTTTAAGGTCCTGCGTATTAAGGACCTCTATCCCGATAAGACAGGGCCTCGACACGGAGCCAAACATTCGGATCCATGCCCGCGGAGTCTTTCAGATCCCATTTCCCAAGCTGGAAAGAGGCTGAGGCCCGCGAGTTTTACCGGTCGGGGCCACTGCAACAATGCTGAGCTCCAACATCGGTCAGCGGCCCAAAGTATTTAGTAGGGCATCCTGTGTCAACAAGAGGCCCCGAGCCGGTCAGAGGAAGATTTGCTCAAAAGGGATGGGAACGGGACCCCGAATGACAGAGGTTCTTTTGCGCTCGTCGCGGCCCATTGGCAATCAAAGGAAACATAAGATCTTATGATGACTGCTCGCATTAATGCAATGGAAGGTTTTTTGTGCTAGTCCGGGCCCCCAGTACCGAACGATGAGCCCGGTAACCCAATTCCAGCATGGGCCGTTAAGCGGAACCGGAGTCTACGTGTCAATCCTTGAAACATCTGCGGTGATGAGGGATGCTGTTGCGTTAGTGAGGGTTCCTGCGTCGATCCGGGATCAACTGCGGAGGTCAGAAGGCCTCCCGCCTAAGAGGCCAATGTCATATGATGTGTCCCTCTAATGGCCTCTGGATCGGCCAGGGGATTCCTCCCCGTGTCTCCAGAATAACAGCTGGAAGACACCCGTGTTGCGACGGGATGGCCCTTCAACCCTTGTCGGTGGACACTAATGTGCCGTCTAGTGTTCTACTCAAAAGGGTCCCTTTCCAGGAGATAAATAGGTGCCTCATTAGTGCTGAACAAAGTGGGTCGAAATGAATTAACAAATGAACAAGGTCATCCCACGTTTGCCTGATAACGAACTTTTTGCAGAATCGACTGGTGAAACAATTATCAAAATATTTGAGCCTACGTGCTCGCAGTCTTGGAAGCAAGGACAGCGATGGCCTGGACTGCGATTTTCGTGAAACCGAACGGTGTTGGCTTCCGCGAGCAAAGCCGGGTGACGGATGCCGTGAGCGAGAGCGACCGTACTGGAATAATGCTCCGAATGTCTTAGAAAATGAATTCGTACCGTTCAATGATAAGGCTGGGCAGATCTTTTTCAACTTTCATGCTGTCCTCTGGACGGATTGATAGCTACAGCAACGTGAAGACCAGAGATTCTGGCTTCACTCCTTTAGCCTTACCACCAGACTCTAGCACCACTTTGCGGTGTTGTGGAGGTCATTTCATCCATTTCATCAATCCAAAAATTGCACCGGCGAAATATACGGCTGGCTTCCTTGTAAATATATGGTTTGATTTCCTAGTGCCCAAAGATGCTTTTTGCAAATGCATCATTTTCGTCACTCTTTGGCCACGTCTTAGTGTTAGCCGCGGGGCCGACGCTGCAAGGTCTATGGAGACTACAACGTCTGACATCAAGGTTTTTTGCTAAGGTTTGGTAGCGCGCATGCTCAAAACTACGTTACAGAATTGGTTTCACTAATCAACGGACCAAATGTCGAAGATTTTCGGACAAACATGGCTTGGCCATGTTAATACAAATTGTTGACCAATTTCGACCTACCTTCGCAGGGTCCGTGATATATCTGTACGGTCCAGATAAACATTCTGGCAAAGGTACTGAGGCCTGTCGCTTTAGAAAGACTTCACTGAACCATTAAAAAATGAAGAGTGGCGATTATTTATTGCATGCATACGTTTAACGCATAATTTCTTCACATGATTGACAACAAAATTCAGACATAATTTATCTCGCGGTAGCTTCTGGCTTTGATATCAGTTATAGGGAATAAAAGCGTAAAGCATCAAAGAAAAGCATCTCTCATTAATAAATTGGTTATATTCAGCGATATTTGGGTTGGAGGCTTGTGCTATCAGGGGCTCTTTGGCAACGCTGTGTCCCTCCCTTGAAAAGGCTCTGGCTGCGCGCTTGGTTCAGAGGATATCTTCAAATTTGGGGGGGGGGGGGTGCAATAGCCAAGTGGTAGATGCCTTTGGCTCCCACGTGAGGTCCGAGCTCAAACTCCGGCAGTGCCTTGCCTCCAGGAAGTTAATATGGCCTCTTTGGTAGCACTGGTGATCCATAAAATGGTGCGCGACGACGTGAGCTGCGTCCATTTTTTTGTACATACTGTGATATTTACTGGCTAAATAATGGCCTCAGTCTGGCCTTTAAAAATCACAAGTTAATTATAAAAGCTTTCAGCTGCATTTTTCGCGGCACGCGGTCGCTCTAGCGGGCCTGGCGTTAGCTGCAGAGGGCCAAGGTCGTTCGGTTTCGACGGAAAGCTGCAATGCCGGCCATTGGTGTTCTTGCTCGTAAAGATCGCGAGCGCGCGCGCCCAAACCTATTCGATATGGTTTGGCTCAATATTCGATTCTAAAAATGATGAACGTAATCGGGTAAACATTGTCTGAGCATGTCAATACAGATATGTTTTCCCCGTTCTGACCCACCGTTTTAAACGCTAAAGGGGCGCCTTACCTTTCTCGGGTCAAGGATCTCTGGGTAGGACACTAAAGGGCACATTTTGAGATCAGGGCTGGCGGGCCTTTCGTCTAAGCCCGGGTTGTCCACAAGCTGTCGTGCTGGGAACTCATGGACCGGGGCCCCTGGTTTATGCGGCGGCACTTATAAGGATGCATCATGCATCGTCATCGGTCCGGCCCTTTCTGACGTGGGAGGCCCTCTGACCCGGTATATTGGCTTTGAATTGACGTCGGGCCCTCGTTGACGCAAAGATCCAGTTTGCTTTTTCCACTGGATCATATGATGGCTTCGTGCTAAAATTTAAGTTTTTTACCAAAATGCGCAAAAATTGCCACAAAAGCAGTTTATGCCGCCTCCCAATATCATCTAACAAAATGTCATCAAATTCAAGCAAGCTGGCAACGATAGAGCACCTCGTCATTTCCTATTCATCTGAAATATTGGGTTTACCATCTTATCTAATGCTCAGCCCGGTTCCGTTTATTTTGCTTTGCTCTGTCCCGTCCTGCCCTATCTCGTCTCTGCCCTGTCTTGTCTTGTTCAGGCTTGTCTTGTCCCGGCCTACCTACCCTGTCGTGTTCTCTCCTTTTACGCTGTCTCTTGATCTGTCCTGCATTGTTAGGCCTTCCCCGTAGTGTTTTTTTTGTTGTAGTCTTTGTAGCCTTCCCCTTCCCCTTCCTGTTCTGTCCAGTCCTGTGGTGTCCTGTCCTGTTCCCTTCTATTCTACCCTGTTCTATCCCGTTTTCCCTGGTCTATTCTACCTTGTCCTTGCTGTCTATCCGGTCCGGTCGGGTCCAGTCGGCTCCGTTCCGGTCCAGTCCTGCCCAGGCC